GCTGAACAACAACACGGTTGCAACCAGGGTTCAAGCGTGCCATACCCTAGAGACTGTTCCCCAGGGTGTCTCCTTGTATACAGGAAGCAGACCACGTCCCTAAGGCAGCTTCTGAGCTGCTCACAGTAAATTCCACCACGGAGTTGATGACCAGCCTCATCATGGGAAGTAGTATATCCAGCTCCCCAGCCACTCAACCAGGCCCAGCCAAGTTGACACACAAATTTAAGTACCACACTGGAGAGTGAATGAGGAAAACCAAAGAAGAATTAATGCTTTTGAGTTGTGGTATTGGTGAAGAATACTGAAAGTACCGTGGACTGCCAGAAGAACTAACAAATGTGTGAAGAAGTGCAGCCAGAATGCGCCTTGGAAACAAGGATGGCCAGACTTCATCTCACCTACTTTGGTCATGTTGTTAGAAGGGATGATTCCCTGGAGAAAGATGTCGTGGTTGGTAAAGTGGAGGGAAAAGGGATAGGCCCTCAACAAGATGGACTGACACAGTGGCTGCAGCGATGGGCTGAGGTATAGCAAGGACTGTGAGGCTGGCCCAGGACCGGGCAGTGTTTGGTTCTGTTGTCCACAGGGTTGCTGTGAGTCGGAACCGACCTGACGGCACCTAACAACAACAGCAGCACAAATCTTAGATATTTCTCCAGCTGAGAAAGAGACGGCTCTTTGCAGTTTTAAGTTAACGTAAGCATTGCTGTGTTGTGTATGATGTCACTCTGAGAAAAGTATAAACATTTTTGAGGAACCCTGGTGGTGCAGTACTTGAAGCACTTGTCTGCTAACTATAAGTGGGTGGTTCAAACCCACCAGCTACTTCACAGGAGAGAGATGCAGCAGTCTGCTTCTGTGAAGATGACAGCCTTGGAAGCGCTATGGGGCAGTTCTCTTCTGTTTCAAGGGTCTCTCTGAGTCAGAATCAAGCCACCAGCAGTTGGTTGGTTCAGGGATAAGCTTCTGCAGTAAGACTTAGATCAAAGGTTTTGAACATATGTTGCTTTGCACAGATATCTGAACACCATTAAAACACGTTCCCGGGTGGTCACCACCCCCCACCTCCAACTTTTGATCTTTAGTGATAAATAGATGGAGAGAAAACCAACAGAACACTTATGCTGTCTCTGAGGATGGACACGGTGCTGGCACTGCCCCAGGGGACAGATATCATGGTGCTCACGCTGTCTCAGCAGATGGACACAGGGCTTGGGCTGACCCAGGGGACAGACAGGTGTTTTTGCTGCCCTAGGAGACACACACGGTGCTCACACTGCCCCAGTGGACAGACACGGTGCTTGCGCTGTGGTCAGAGGATGGACAGGGTGCTCATGCTGTCCCAGGGACGGACAGGATGCTTGTGCTGTCTCAGGGGACAGACATGGTGCTCACACTGTCCCAGCGGATGGACATGGTGCTTGCTTTCTGTGCTGCACGCAAAGCCTCCTAGTTTAGAAATGCTTAACCACCAGAAAGGAAAGAAGGCCTGCAGGCCTTCAGCTGTGTCCCAGATAAACTGTTTATTTATAGTCACGTTTGAAAATGGTTTCACACCCCAGAAGTTTTCTTTGACCTTGAAAATGCCGTCAGTGCATTTGAAATGTTAGGAGTGTCTGTTACTTTCTCAGTCACTCTCGCTGTCATGATGGACGGCCTTCCTTGACAGTGCTTCCCACGGTTCCATTAGTTTCTCTTCCGCCAGGAAGCAGTACCCTTCCATCACCTGTCACACCAGTCTGTATGCACCGTGTCTACAAGCTGGCCAGGTGCTGTCCCTGCCCTCGGGTAGGCACACAGGACACGTAAGGTTAACATCTGTAGCCCGAGAGATTCAATGTGGGAAAAACTCGAGAGATACGCTGCGAGCCTTGGATGTGCGTGGACTGGTGTTATTTATTTTCTGAACTCTCTGAAGTGACTTGAGGCCTTTGGTTCTGTTCTTTTCGTTAAAGTGCTCCAACGAAGCTGTGTTCGCTGTGGACTTCCACCCCACGGACACCAATGTGATAGTTACCTGTGGGAAGTCCCACCTCTACTTCTGGGCCCTCGAAGGAAGCTCTCTCATTAAGAAGCAGGGATTATTCGAGGTAATGTGAAATCACATGGTTTCTGTTTTACTTCTCCCCGGGTGGTGTGCGGGATCAGCTGGGCCTTGAAGGAGTCTGAGGCATGCCAGTCTTAACGATGGTTTGGATTGGTAAGTGTGGGTGCATGTGGGGGTCGCAGTAATGAGACTGTTCCCGGGATCGCGGACACGGCTGGGGAGGCCTGGGGCTTGTGGGGAAGGATGACCCAGCGGGGGGAGAAGAGCAGAGACAGGAAGGAGGCAGCCCTGGGGCGGCAGCGTCAGTGGTGGGCTCACACAGAGCGCGCACACCAAGGCGTCATGAGGGTGGGCACCATGTTGCGTCTGCAAAGAAAGACAGACAGCTCTGAGCCTTTCTCTGGCCGTTTGGGGGCTTGTGGGAGCACCAGGAGATAGCCCCTCTTCCTCGGTGCTGGGCCATGGCCGCCACCCCCCAGGGGCTGTTTGCGAGGGTCGCTGTATTGTGCTGGGGCTCTGTTCTGCAGGCTGTAGCCATGGCAACACAGCCTCAGTCTCCTTCCCCACCCTCCTCAGCTTAAACTGTCTGCACCTTCATGGTTCCCCAGCCACTTGGAGTTGCCAGAAATGTCTTTATTTCAGAGCAGATAATCTCATGGCCTAAATTACGTAACAGTAACCAAAACTGAAAGGCACAGTGTGGACACAGAAGCTGACACTGTCCACCTGGAGTCCCTGGGAATCTAGACAGATTAATACCAATGAAAGGACGTCTTAATGAGATGTATGTGTATAACATTCTGCAGAAACAAGAAAAGCCAAAGTTTGTCCTCTGTGTGACTTTCTCTGAGAACGGTGACACCATTACCGGAGATTCAAGTGGCAACATCTTAGTCTGGGGAAAAGGTAACAAGTGCTTCCTTGGTGCAGACACAGACGTGTGGGGATGTTACAAGGAAGTGGGTAGCTGTAATTTCTGGAAGACTCCGTTAGTACAGGCAGACCTTGGTTCTAGCCCTTTGCACTATTACACCTTGCAGGCAGTACGTTTCCATGCAAACTGGAGGTTTCCTGCCCTGTGTTGGCAGGTCTGTCAGCACCATCCCATAGCACGTGCTCACTTCATGTCTCCGTGGCCCATTTTGGTCATTCTCATAGTATTTCAGACTTTTTTCGTCATGCTGTTGCACCCTGAGTAGACTGTGGTATCATGTAAACATAACTCTTACATACGCTGGGAAACCACAAAATTGTGGGTCTCGCTTCCTTGCGATACTCACTTTGTTGCAGTCGTTTGGACACAACCCTGCAGTAGCTCCGAGGTCTGCCATATGATTTACAGGATGCTGTTAAATTCTAGGTCATACAGGCGCCTACAGAGGTATGTGCACACACATGCATGTGCAGTGTTGGTGGTGGTGGTGTTATGTGCCGTCGAGTCGGACCCGGCTCATAGCGACCCCTCCTTGGATTTCTGAGGCAGTATCACTATGGAAGTAGATTGCTCCATCTTCCTTCCGAGGAGTGGCTGGTGGGTTTGAACCACCAGCCTTCTGGTTAGCAGTCAAGTGCCTTAGGCACTACGCTACCAGAGCTCCTGCATGTGCAATAGGAAACCATAAAACCAAAACATGAGGAGATGGAAGAAAAGCAAGAGTTACCAACCTCCATTCATTTGAGCAGGCTGTCTAGACCCAAGGGAGTGAGGGAGTCCGCAGCTTCATGAGGGGAGTCAATCAGACCGTTAGGATGATGAGGATGTCAGTAACCGGTTACATGGCTGCGAGATACTGGACAACCTCTCTGATGGGCACAGCCTTCGGCTGGTGTTTCTAAAGGCTGATTATGTGCACAGCAGTGGGCTTATCGTTTTTAAAGAAATTGCTACTGTATTTATGTTCTAAGAGAACACTCTTACCCATGTGCCGGTTGTGTTGCTATGGACACACAGCTACCACTTCTGTATCATAAATTGTAAAACGTAACACATTTGTGGTAGAATATGTGCTACTTCTGTAATCTATATCCGTTTTCAAAGTGGTTTCACCTGCTGTCTTACTTCTAATGTCGGCCCTGTGCATGACGCAGACTAGGTACCAGCACACCTGAATCTAGGGCAGTTTCGCTTTGGTAGCGTAGTGCCTAAGGCACTCGACTGCTAACCAGAAGGCTGACGGTTCAAACCCACCAGCCACTCCTGGGAAGGAAGATGGGGCAATCTACTTGCGTAGAGATACCACCTTGGAAACCCAAGAAGGGGTCGCTATGAGTCGGGTCTGACTTGACGGCACGTAACAACAACAACAAGGGCAGTTTTGGTAATTTGTGGAGTCTCTCCTCACTGGAAAGAAGGCTGGAAAGAGAAGGAACTTGTGTAGCACCCCTACTGTCTTGGTGTCTTGGGGCTCAGTGTTGTCCCTATAGTTGTGTTTAAGCCCTTGGCAGACCTGGGGGGTAGGCAGGACCCCATTCCACAAAGGTGGCCACTGAGATGTGGGCGAGTGAGTAACCCGTCCAGAGGCACACAGCTCATGAAGACGAGTTGGGAGCCCTCAGTTGGGTGTGACTCACAGTGACCCCGTGGGACAGTGGACCTGGCCCATGCAGTTTCCTGGGCTGTCCTCTTTAAAGGGGCAGACCGCCAGGTCTCATCTCCCAAGAAGTTGCTAAGTGGGTTCAAACCACCAGCCTCTCGGTTGGCAGCTGAGTACTTTAAACACTGTGCCACCAGGGCTCCTTGAGGGCCCTCGAGCTGGGTTTGCAGCTCAGAGTCCGCATCCTCAGCCCCACTGTGCTCCCTGGAGCCCCACTGTGCCTCACGGGGGTATTGTTTCTGTAACGGTGAAGCATCCCAGCTCCACCTTGTCTGGTGCTCTGAAAGCTTAGAAACTGGGCTCTTCATTGGTTCATGTTACGGTGCTGTGGTAACCAGCAGCATCACATTTTTAAACAGAAATGGAGTGAGATTTGGAAAGGACACCGTGAGCCCTTTGACAATGTACTAACGATGGTTCTCTTGGTGGATTTAGGTACGAACCGGATATGCTATGCAGTTCAAGGGGCCCACGAGGGGGGGATCTTTGCACTTTGTATGTTAAGGGATGGCACACTGGTGTCAGGAGGAGGAAAAGACCGGAAACTCATTTCTTGGAATGGAAACTATCAAAAGCTTCACAAGACAGAGGTGAGACAGCAGGCATTGTTACTGAAATTCACGTTGAACCTTCAAGTGGGACACTAACCAGGGTCTTTGTTAGTTTGAAATATTTTGATTACAGTTTTCAAAACTGTTTAGAAAAACTTTATTAGATGGGGCAACATATATTTTGCTGAAATCATAGAGGTCTTGGTGGTTTGAGAACTGAAATAGGGTTAGTGGTGGTGTACACCAGGAAGCCAGTTCTGCCTGGTAGCAGCCTATCAGCCAGAAGAACTACCCCAGCGGGTCTCCAAGGTACATCTCCAGGCCTTGTCTCTCACGGAGCTGCTGCTCGTTCAGACAACCTACTTTTCAGTTAGTGGCAGTTGCCCCAGAACCAAAACCCACTGCTGTCCAGTCAATTCCAACTCACAGTACCCCTACACAACAGAGTAGAACTGCCCCACACGGTTTCCAAGGTTATAATCTTGACAGGAGTAGACTGCCACATCTTCCTCCTAGGGAGCAGCTGATGGGTTTGAACCACTGACCTTTTGGTTAGCAGCTGAGCGCTTTTTACCGCCATGCCACCAGGGTCCCTAGAATCATAGACATGCTTGTGTTAAGTCATAATAGCAGAAAAAGCTGCAGGACCTCATCCAGTTTCCTCCAAGCTGTCTGACGTTTTTGGTCAGCTTTCTGTGGTTCCTCTTCATTAGCATGGGTTATCATGACCTGCTCGCTCACCTGTGGGCACATCTGTGTACACCTCTCGGGGGCAGAGGACCTGGGGGAATACGGGCTCGGGTGCCACAGTCCCTGAGGTCTAGCAGGTCCGTTCTTTTATTGTAGCAAATTGTTCTTGGCTAAGGCATTTTGAAATTCTTTAACTTCCTATTTTGATTCTGCTGTATGTTTACAAACACGAGCGATGGATTTTAAAAGTGCAGGGTGAATTGCCAGAGGCATTTGACTGCTAACCAGAAGGCTGGCGGTTCAAACCCACCAGCCACTCCTCAGAAGGAAGACTGGGCAATCTACTTCCATAGTGATACTGCCTCGGAAACCCAAGGAGGGGTTGCTATGAGTCGAATTGAGTAGCAGTGAGTTTGGTTTTTGGTGTTTGGACCATTTCTAGTTGTGGTAAACTCAAGGACCTTGTTTCATGGCTGCATTATGGGACCTTGTTTGTAGCTATGTTATGGGACCTTGTTCTTGGCTGCCTTATAGGACCTTGTTTCACGGCTGTTATGGGACCTTGTTCATGGCTGTGTTATGTTATTCTTCACTTTCCATATTTTATCTGCTGCTACTGTCACAAGTCAAAGCAAGTGAAGAGCTAACTAACCAGCAGGAGTCCTGCTTATTCATTTTGTCAAGAAAAAGGCTTTGTGGTATTCTAAGCAACCCCCTTTGCTGATGCTTCCGAGATGCACAGAGTGTGTGCACTTGAAAAGGAAGCCTTGGGGTTAGGTGGCTCCCACACATGACTGAGTTGTGATGGGGCTGTCCTCCCGGTCTTCAGCACGTGTTCTGAATTAACAACTATGAGAATTCACTTAACATGATTACACATGTTCTGCTTTCATGACTCTCATCCATACAGATCCCAGAGCAGTTCGGTCCCATACGGACAGTGGCCGAGGGGAAAGGGGATGTGATCTTGATAGGGACAACTAGGAATTTCATTCTCCAGGGCACACTGAACGGGGACTTCACGCCCATTACTCAGGTACGTTCAGGAAGGTTAGGATGACCGTTCCTAAGCTCAGCGTTCTAACTGCTGCATCAGTTGAGGGGCACCCCTGCAGACCCCTGGGTGCTGAGCCCTGATGCAGCACCCCTTGAGACCCCTGGGTGCAGGTTGCAGTGTTCAGAGAGCCCCCATCTGCCTTACTTCTCTGCAGGGTCACACTGATGAACTCTGGGGACTGGCCGCCCATGCCTCCAAGCCTCAGTTCTTGACCTGTGGGCATGACCGGCATGCCACCCTCTGGGACGCCGTTGACCACCGGCCCGTCTGGGACAAAGTCATAGAGGTAGACACGTGTGTTACGTCTCCCTTTTTCTTTAAAAATGTCATCTGGACCGTATGTATTTAAATTCTGTGTGGAATGAGCCCAGGTGTGAAGCCATCCCAAAGCACACGCTGCATTGCCTGAGCAGTCACTCTCCCACGTCCTCCTGCAGTTCACTGTGGAATTCTGGGGCAGCAGGTCAGCCTCGTGAGTTGGTTGCTGAGTTTAGTGAGTGCACAGAGTATAGACTGCCTTCAGTGCTGGGAACCCCTTGTCATAGCCCCGCACTCGCTTCACGGCAGGCCTTCTGAATGAGCACGGGAGCCATACTGGAAGTAGGCTATGAGTTCATCTCTGCGACACCTGAGTGTGACAGTAAAGTTAAAAGGCTTTAGTTTTAAACTCAGCATCTCTGGAAACTTTGCCAAAGGGATTTGGATGCTCTTTGCATGTCAGAGGGGCTGGAATACCCCCTCCCTGCTTATAATCGGTGTACTGATGGGGCACCGTGTGATGTCCCCCACTTTACCAACACAGCCCTTACTCCCAAAAGCAGCCTTCCAAGAGCAAGTGGTTTTGGTTTTTTAAACACTTATTTTATTGATTAGGAAATTGAGACTTAAATAAACAAACCTGTTACTGTGGAGTCGATTCTGATTCACAGTGCCCCTAGAGGACAGAGTGGAACTGCCCCAGAGGGTTTCCAAGGCTGTCTGTCAATCTCCACAGAAGCAAAGCCCCAACTAAACTAACCACTGTTGAGTTGATTCCAACAGGATAGAAGCAAAGTCCAAACCAAACCCAGAGTTGATTCGGACCCACAGTGTCGAGAGAGGACAGGGTGGAAGTACCCCACAGGGTTTTCCAAGGCTGACATTTTCATGGAAGCCAACTGCCCCATTTCTCCTACAGAGCGGCTGATTCAAACAGCTTAACCGCTGTGCCACCAGGACTCCAGTTGAGACTTAAGAGAAGTTAAGTAACTTGCCCAAGGTCACTGAGTTTGTAAGCAGTAGAGCCAGTGTTTGCGCTCAGCTCAGTCTGCCCCCAAACCCAGGCTCTTGGCACTACATCGTGCTGTGGGTTGGAAACACCCCTGTGTTGCTAGTGCAGTGATGGTGGTTGGAATCCTGCCTAAGGGCAAGCACTCTGTGGCCTCCACACATCATCCCTTCATCCCCTCCCGAGTTGCCAGCACTCCCCGTGTGCCTGGGAGAGCTTCAGCCCTCTGCCTGCACTTTTCAGTGACGCGCTGGCGCTGCTGACCTCGAAGCCCTGGCCCCTGCGGCCATGAGCTGAGCCTTCGGAAGAAGAGAGCGTGGAGTGGCCCGAGGCAGCAGGAGGAGGCTAGAGGAAAGGGCCTTGAGTGTTACCTGCCCTTGCTAGGGGTTCGGGGAGGGAAGATAAGACTGGGGACACACGAGGGGTCAGGCAGAGGTGATGGCAGCCATGCATGCAGCAGGGACACAGTGTCAGGCAGGACGGCCTTCCGTGTGGTCTCTGTGGCTCAGCGGCTCTGCTAGCAGCAGAGACAGTTCCTCCATCTCCCTGCCCGGCCAGGCTGTTAACAGTCAGCCTGACATACGGGGAGGAGCACTGAGCTGAAAGTCGGGCAGAGACGCAGGCCAGTCACTTACGCCAGTGGTGCTGTGGGGCTCGAATGACTTGTTCATCCAAGTGCCCTGTAGACGCGGAAGCTTGCCATGAGAGGGAGTTGTGTGTGTGACAGGGGCACTCCTGAGCTTCCCTGCAGCTCCCGTGTCGGGAAAAGCACTGAGATCGCAGGACCAGGACCCGGACTGTCTCCTCCAGCCTCGGATCCCTGAGTGTCCACTGGTTCCCATGCACTCTTCCACGGCCACATGGCCACTGTCTTTTTCCCTTGTTCTTCCTGATGCATCTCTTCGCACTTCCATCCGTTCCAAACACCCCTGCCACGTGATCTTCTACCCACAACAGTTCTGGCCGTGACAGCCCTTCTATTGTAAAGAAAAAGCCACCTTCACTGTGTTGTTGTTTCCTCCAGAGCCCTTCCTCGGCAGCACGGGCTACAGTACTCCTGTCTCCATGACCTTTCCCACCCCCACCCCGTACAGTCCACAGTGGAGACCCGCCGCCCTCGGCCCGCCGTCCTCACGTCTGCCCAGAGCTCTGCTGCTCCCACACCTCTGATCACACCGTAGGCCCCTGGGCCCCTGCCGTCATTTTCTAGGTCTGCTGTAGCAAGCAGCACAGAGCAGGTGGCTTATCGGAACATAAATGTATTGTCTCGTAGTTATAGAGCTGGGAGTCAGAGTCAGGCTGTTGGCCACGTTGCTCCCTTCGGAGGCTCTGACAGACAAACGGGCCTAGGCCTCCCTCTCCCCGAGCTCCTGGCCGCTCCAGGTGTGTTTGACTCGCAGCTGCAGCGTTGCACGTGTCTGTGTCTCCCTGTCTCTGTGTCTCTTCTCTTTTATGAGGACGGCACTCAACTGACATCATCTTCGAAGACCCTATTGCCAGTCACGGTCATAGTCCCAAGCACAAGGACCAGGATTTCAGCGTCTCTCTTGGGGGAGATGCAATTCACTCCATAAAAACGCTGATCCCAAACCATTCTGGGGTGCCCACTTCCCACCTTCACCACTGACCGTTCTTCCTGCCAAGTCCGAGGCTCCCAACATGGGAAGCCTTCACCCGTGTCCCCAGTCTAGCGCCATCTGTCCCTGCTCTGCGATTCCACAGCCCTAGGTTCTGACCTCTCATCCCTCGGGTTCCAGCTTGCTTCAGTTAGTGGTGAACAGGAGTATACCCCACAAAAGCTAGATTGTGCCTCACTCGTCTTGGAGTCTTTCCGGGTTGCCATAGCGTCTTGCCCCAACTCTGCCCTCACCCAGTATCTGCATAATGGAATTGGGTACAGTGGCCACACATCCAGACAGCCAGAGCACACCTGTGTAAGACGAGCTTATCAGTCACCGAGCGGAGTGAACCGAAGGGGCTGTCACGTAAAACATGGCTCGGAAGGATGGCACTTCATCATGGTGAGTGGCCGTGAGAGAGGATATAAGACAAGAGGGAAGATCCTCAAAGGCTAAAAATGGAGTATCCCGGAAGCACGACATGCCTCCGGGTAGACAGTCCGCCTGCTCCCTGGAGAGCACTGACCCCCAAACGCAGCCACGCACCCCTGAGGGACTAGAGCTGTGCTTGTGTTTATGGTACTGCCTGTGTCGGCCGTCAATTTACACTTCCTTTAAAATGTTCTAGGATCCAGCTCAGTCTTCTGGTTTTCATCCTTCAGGGTCTGTGGTTGCAGTCGGAACACTGACTGGAAGGTAAGTCCAGGCGGGCATGGTCGGCGTTCTCAAAGCCTGCAGAAAGCGGCTTGTCTGTTTGATGTCTTCAGTGACAGGCATGGCGTAGCCTTCGGCCGCGTCTCCTCAGCGTCCAGTGACATCCCGAGAATTCAGTCACAGCCAGAAAGTAAAACTTAACATGAAACAGTGGTTTTCATATTTGGGAGCCTTGGGAGTCTGAGGAAGGGTCCAGACCCACTCTCCCAGGAGAATTGCCCACGGCATCCCCACCACATGCTCTCCCAGGAGAAGTGCCCATGGCATCCCCACCATGCATACACATCCACGTGCATGCATGCACACACATACACACACATTCATACACACACTTACACACATGTACACACATACACACCTGTCCATACATACATACACATATACACCCATACACGTATATATGCACTCATAGAGACATACTCATACACACACATACACACCCATAAACACAGATACATGTACACACGTACATAACTATGCACACACACACATACTCACCCATATACATGCACTAATTTGCCTTCAGAGGGCCCCTCATGGCCTGCTTAAAAACCCCTGATCTGGAGGTTGGGAGGGACCCAGCTTTGGAATCAGGTGAGAGCATTTCAAAGCTCTGAGAATCTCCGTTTGTTTTCCTAGCTGCTCTGCCCAAGTTTTCGAAACAGCCTGTGTTTGTACCTCCTACTCCTAGTCCACCATTACCACGCACCTCCTAGGGGCCAGGCAGCAGGTCTGCATCTGGATCCAGCTTGGCTGTTGGCCACAGGGCGTCTCTGAGCCCTTCCTGCGTCTCTTCCCATTTGTTCCCTTTTCTGCAGTGATGGCGTCTGCCTGGCCTCGCGGGTGATGCCTGCAGAGCTGCCTGTAGGCTGAGGGGGAGGTGGTGGTGACTGTCATCATCCCCCACGATCTACGTCATTTATCGCAGTCACGCATTCACTGGCTGCGGTTCACGGGCCTTCAGTGGTCCTTCCCTTTTCCTCTCTTCCAAAGCACTCCACTTAGGTTCCGTTGTTAGGACATTGAACGTATGTATAAAGACATGAGACGTGGGCAGCAGTGTCCTAAGAGTTGGGCCCATGTGGCCAACAGAATTGTTCATGCAAATCTGCCTGGCGACAGATGTGCACGGCCCTGCCTGCCTTCAGCTCTGTGATTCAGCTGAAGGTGAGGGCCCCATGGGAGGGCAAGGGGCAGTAAGTCCGCTCAGTAGACCTGCTGAAGGGCTGTCTGCCCTGGAGTTTGGAACTGCAGCAGCGGGGTGGCCACATCCTTCCATCCCTAAAGTGTCAGGTCCCACTTCCTGCCACCACCCGAGTGTAGCAGACAGGAGTGTGCAGCCAGTCAGCTGTTTTAACAAATACGCACCGGGCCCTGTGTCCTCACAGGAGGAATTCAGAGCACTCTCATACCCATTTGGCTTTAACATGGAACCTGCCAGGTGGCCCTGGGTTCTTAGCCCCATTTTACAGTTGAGGAAGCAGAGCCCCGAGAGGCTCATTGGCCTGTTGGGGCCCAACCCGCCGCTTACCTCTTGCTTTCTCTCAGTCCTCCCTTCCACCCTGCTGGTTGCCGCTAACATTCACATGCAGTCTAGGCCCTCAGCCAGCCTCTGTCCGCACACACGGTTGTCCCAGCGTATCCCAGGCCGTCCCGCCAGGCCCCTGTGAGATCTCCGGGTAAGCTCTTGCAGGTGGTCCCTTTGCTGCTCCATCTGACCAAGGCCCTGCCCAGAGCGTCCTCTCTTGTGCACATAAACGACAGACTTGGCGCTGGTACCATAGTGGTTCTGAATGTTCCCTTTTTGGGGAAGAGCTTGCATACAGAAAAGCTTCTGTTGTTATTACTGTGATTTGGGTGAAAGTGTACAGAGTTGGGTTTCCATTCAACAATTCCAACACATTTTGTTTTATGACACTGATTGCAGTCCCCATGGTGTAACAGCTCTCTACCCACTTCCTTCCTCTTTCCGTCCCCGCCTGCCTTCTGAGCTTCATCCCTGGGCGCACTGCCCTTTGCTCCTTGCGGTGGATGTTCTGAGGGGTGCGTACCTCCCTGGTGTCCACCTCGTGGCCCTGGCTGTCCTTGGGTTTCTCTCACACACACACAGAATACTTAGCAAGCCCTTGGCATGAGTCCTTTCCAACAGTCTCACTGCTGTTGTGCTGGTCACACTGCATTTCCTCGCAGAACAACTTACCCTACTCTTCTCTTACATTTCAACAGGTGGTTTGTGTTTGACACGGAAACAAAAGACTTGGTCACCGTTCACACGGATGGGAACGAGCAGCTGTCTGTAATGCGTTACTCACCAGGTTGTAACACGAGCCATTCACCATGATTCACCTGAACTGTGGAATGCTGTGTAGACACGTTGAAGAGAACAACTCCGTAGGCTCCTCGGAGTGAAATTTAACTTGTTCATGCACATCCTTGTGCAGTTAGGGGTTCTCTTCCCTGCTTGGCCTCACTTTTTCATGTAACTAGACTATGTTTGTGAGTGTGTGAGTGTTTTCTCCTGGAAAGTTTCAGACAGAATTGGACAGAAGGACATCGTGAGCCCAGCTTCTTAGTTACCCACTCTTAACCAGTCTTGTCCATCTGTAGCCCCACCCACTGCTGCTCATCGCCTTTGGGGCCCACAGAGGTGGTCACCGCCCACAGTGACCCCATGCAGCACAGTGGAGCCACCCCCCAGGGTTTTCTTAGGTGGAAACCTTACAGAAGCAGATTTCCAAGGTCTTTCTCCTGCAGAGCTGTTAGGTGGGTTCGAACCCTTTGGCTTCTCAGCACTTTAACCACTGTGCCACCAGGGCCATTCCAGACACCTTACCATTTTGTCTGTAAATATTGCTGAATCTCTCAGCGGTAGAGACTCTATTTTAACAGCCTTACTGAGGTATGATTTCCACG